ATCTCATCTGAAGACAACCTCATTATGAGAAGAGGTTCCAGAATCTGTCAGTGCCTAACAGTGTTGACATGTGCCTGGTACATTTCAAATACTGGCTGAGTGACTTAAAATAAATTCTTCAAATGTTCTAAATAATACCCTTGCAAGAAAATTATACCTTTCAAGAAACATTTTCATAACTTGTTGCATTACCTATCAATTTTAATGAGAAAATGATATATAAAGATACCCATATATCATTATCAGTTAAGCTCATGTCTTTATTTTCTATTTATTTTTGTTCTAGTTCAACTTTAAAATTTAATGTCATAAAAGAAAAGAGATCAGGAGAGAAAGAAGGGCAAGGCAAGAGAGACAACAGAGAAGACAGACTTGATAACCTATGTTATATGGGTATAAGAAAATGCCACAATGTAACCCAGTAATACGAATAATATATGCACCAATAAAAAATTTAAAAGACATGCAAATGACTGGTCAAGCATATGAAAAACTGTTCAAGTTCTTTGATATCTGAAGAAATGAAATTAAGCCAATAATGAAAAACAAGTAAAGAATAAGTAAATGAAAAAATAAAAATTCAGTATCTTTCAATGCCTATGGCAGTAAGTCCAAGTCCTTCACAAGTAGAGGGTCAGCATAAGGCCAATCACCTTTAACAGAACAATAAAACAATCAACTGGTTTTACTACCACTCCTACACTATAGGCAAGCACTAAAACACAGTAAAGCATTAAGTATACCTGAGGTTTCTTAAGGCTTTTTAAAAAAATAATTATGTGGCTTTGGAGAATGAGTGTAAGGGGGGAGTGTTTGCTTGTGTATAGATCTCCTGCATTGCTATATACAATCTTTCTCTCTTAAGTACAGGAAATAAAGGTTATATTAAAAATGTTTAGAGTGGGCTGGGGATTTAGCTCAGCGGCTTAAGCGCCTGCCTGGCAAGCGCGAGGTCCTGAGTTCAAGCCCCGGTACCGCAAAAAAGAAAAAAAAAAAGTTTAGATTTATACATAGGAAAGGTCTATTTAAAATTAACAATTACTAATAATTTATAAAGATTACAATGAGATATGAGCATAGCAATATTTCAGTTCCTAGGCTTTTAGAAAAACTTATGTTCTTAAGTAAAATAAAGCAGTTGAGTCAATAACTGCCTAAAACTACTAAGTCCCTAAACATTAACATGTGAGAAAGGAATCATTAACAGCACATTATTTACTAGAGATGAGCCAATCAATGATCCAACATGTAAAACATCAAGAACATATAAAATCAAAATTCCCATCTATATTTTATTTATATCTCCCTCTTCCTGTATCACAGACTTTAAGAACAATTCAGAATTTAAATTGATGGGGCTAGGGATTTAGTGCAGTGGCAGTGCCTGTCTGGCAAGCACAAGGTCATGAGTTCCATGGCCAGTACCAAAAAAAAAACAAAAACAAAAACAAAAACTGATATACAGTTCTCTTAAAAAGAGTTAAATTTACCATCAATAGCAAATTTCTTATCATTGAAAGTATTTTAAAGATAAGACACTATAAATCAGAAACTATTACTATTTTATACTGTATTACTATTTTATTTTTAGGAAAACAAGATAAATTTAAAACTAGCAACTATCTGGATATTATAGTAAAACCAGCTAAAGCAGAGAAGCTTCAAGTACTGTGCTTCAAACCAAGTTCTTTGAAGTTCTGAAAACACAGATGTGAGACTGATAACTGGTAATTCTGAAATACTTGCTTAAAGACAAAAAAGCAACTATGAAACAATTATTTCTAAGACAAGTCATATTTATGTAAAGCACTGAGACATTTACAGACAAAAATTGTTAACAGCAAACTGGAAAAGAATTTAAAATCTCGAGGAAAGTATACCAATATTCTTTATCCCACCATATTTACAGTTAGCCCTAGAAAGAGATCAAGTTTCTTACTGAGTTTCTCGCTTCCCATTTTTTGGAATCAGCCATTTAGTTGTGCTTCCCATTCACATACACACTTAAACTAAGCAAACTTTAAGGAACCCCAAAGCCACATTTATTAGTCCTTGTAAAATAAAGTCCACTCCACTGACCTCTATCAAAAATTCACGGATAATCACAACCAATCTAAAATGTTTCCATCTAAACAAAATAGCACTGTCTTCATGTTGCCAAGAAAAAGAATGATAAAAATGTTTCACTTCATTTAAATGTTGAACTAAAACTTTAAAAATGTATAGAATATTAATGATTCTCTAAAGAATGGACTTTACATATATACTCATAATGATCCTTTTAGATAAAGAATTAAGTCCATTTTGAAAAATCAAGCTTATCTACCATCCTCTCACTGACATGTTATATCTCTCTCACACATACACATATGTAACAATAAAATGTAAACTACAGTTCACAATGCAGATTATAAAAACTTTCTTCCTCAGAATCTAAAGCAAGATTATTAAGTCCCTGAGGGCATCAATCTGGTTTGAATCGATTCTCATGAGAAAGTTGGCACCGGTGAAGATTTAAAAGGTTAAAAACTATTCTACTGAAATGTATCAAGAGAATAATCATGTACTCATCCCACTCCCAATCCAGTAAAGCCTACATGATAATTCTGTTGTGTGTTTGTTTGTTTGTTTATTTTTTGATACAGGTTCCCTCCATGTAGTTCAGATTAGCATTGAACTCACTATATATAGCCCAGACTGGCCTGGAATACAAGATGATCCTCCTGCCTCAGCCTGGAGTGAAAGAATTACATACATGTGCCAACATGCCTGGCTGACAATGTTTTAAAACAAAATCAAAATAATTAGTTTATGTCTTAAGTATACTATAGGCCATTCTTCAATTAAGTATCATGGACTATGAAAGCTAAGTGACATTCTAGGTTAAGTATTTACTCAAAAATATATTTAAGCTCATATGTTCATATAAAAATGAAATTTAAGAAAAAATTCATATTCATAGGATTTTCATAAAGGATAGGAAATTCACACAAACTACATTATAAAAGTAGGAACAAAATAAATGGGACTTTTATTTAAATAAGTGATCAAGATTGTGTCTTGTTTCCCTTCCTCTTCCCTCACTTTTTAGGGAAACAGTCTATAAAAATAATATAAGCTTGCCATAAATTGGATTCTTAAGAGATAGAAAGAGGGACTGGAGAGGGGGAAATGATTTAAGTGATGGTTTCCAGGCAAAAGAAACAATGTGTTATGAATTACTTTCAGCAGGAAAGAAAGCTCATGTTTGTAGCAATAATGCAACAGAGAACAGGTGAGAAAAGACCACTGCCAGACTCTTTGTGATTCTTAGATCTAAAGAATGCAGCAAGATGCCAGACAGGATGTAACGATTATGCAAGTTAGGACAAACAAAAAATGGTGTAAAGAGGATCCTTTTATTTGGATTTTTTAGTTTCCTACAAATGCATAGTTCAATAAACATAAACCCAGGTTCTACATAAAAGATTCAATGACACAATACATAAAGAAGGTCCTTGTTATAGAAAAATAAATGAATCCTTAAAAGGCTTTAAAAAAAATAAATGAGTCCTAAAAAGCCTTTTTTAAAATAATACTGCTCAAAAGAAAGAGCAAATCTTAATATTGAGGACTGAAAACCAAAGCTATCTAGCATTTAAACAATGTGCTAATAATTACAAAAAAATTAATATTATTGCAACTATATGTATTTCTTAACAACAACAAAGAAAAAACCAAATATAGATAGTATTAACATTCTTCACAACAATTATTTGGTATCTTGATCTTAAGGGTCATATTTTAATTAAGGTCTACAACAATTTTCCCAAAGACTTTTCTCAATCTCAAAATGATGTCTGAACTACCTGCTTAAAACAAAGTATCAAAACCTTTTTTAAAAAAAAACTGTTTGCCTATTTGCCCTTCAGCTGTTAATAAATATAACTGACAGAATCTCATGACAGTAATTCCAACAGCAATTTTAGCAATTCTCCAGTATTTTCATAGACTTCATGAAATTTTGTATCATTCACAAGAACTGTCATTCTATCTTGTAAATTACTCTTATCTCTTCTACCCATAAAATCCTAATCCAAACTATAATTTTCTTGCTGCTAGACTATTAAAATGCTTCCTACCTCTTTTCTTTGCTTCCAGTATCTTAAGGTTGTGAAAGACAAGATAAGGTGTTCTCTATCTTCCACATGGAACCAACATATACATTTTAAAATCTAAATTTGATTCTACATATTCAATAACTTTTCGTATTTTCTCTTTTTTTCAAGTGTTGGTTTAAATGTCACGCCATGGAGAAGTCCAACTAACCAAACCACATGCAATCTTCTGTATTAATATTATGTTACTTATTCGCTTATTTAATATCTTCCCCAACCTCCACAAACATATCTGAATGATAAGTCCCGTAAGCACAGGGATTTTGTCAGCTAGATTCAACACCTAGAATAGTGTCTAGCGTATTAGATGCATTCAATACAGAAAATAAGTATAAAAATTAAATAAGAATACTTAAATAAAGAACTAAATAAACCTGAGTTATTAAAAAAAAAATACCAAAGGGAGCCAAATTAACAATGTATCTAATGTCCTCACTTTAAATCTATGAAGAGTATACATCAAGGAAAAGTCAATGAATTAGAGGAAAAGTATAAGATTTTTATAGCATTTTCACTCGATATTACCATTTCATATTCCCAAATTTAATTTTGAATATTATCTGACTTTAACTCATAACATAGCTATACAGCTACCATTATTTCAAGAAATTCAACCAACTTTTAATCCAACTATGAGTTCAAAATATATATACAACTCATCACTATTTCTTAATCAAAAGCATTAGCAAAACAGATGGGCCATCTGAATCTCATTTCTAGATCATAACCTGAAAAAGTTTCTCTGGGGTTTCCTACATTCCACTGAAAAGTCTCATAAGGACTAGCACTGCATGTATACTTGGTACTACAAATCCTAGCTAATTCCTAGGTTAAGCTTTGTACCTGTGTGATGGAGAAGGAGCTTCAAACTGAGGCACTGTGCTATCTTCACTCACAGGAGAGTACAGGCCGCTCATTTCCTAAAAATACAATTAACTGAATTATAGTAGATATCAAACAGAAGATGAACAACTCAAAAACACAATATTCAATTCCCTTCTAGAAGTGGATTTTCATCCATTCCTTTTGGTGTCAACACCGTAATTTCTCAAGGATTCTTTTCTAGAGAGAATAAAAGCAAAGAAAATCTGAAAATTTACAGTACAAATTGTTAAGGAACTATAAATCACCTATTACTATTTGTCACTAATGATGCCATCAAATATAGAAAAAAAAAAACCAAGTATTTTAAAGAAAAACAATATACCATATGAACGCTAGCAAATCAAATTATCAAATTGTGTGATTACCTACTGATATGCATTAGAACAAATAAATATGAAAGTGTGATAACTGGATCATCAGGTGCAAGAATTTAAAATAAAAAAGAAAGCAGGTATCTCATTTTCTGCTTTAAAAAAATTCCCTAGACAAGAAGAAAACAACAAGTTTATTAATTCAAAATTGAGCTTTCTTTTATAATGACAAACTCTAATTTTTATCATTAAACCTAAGGAAAAGGCCTCATGATCAACTATTATCACATAAATTACAGTTTTAAATCATAGTAACGATCAGCCTTCTTTTATATTTTATATTTTGATTACTGGAAAAACAGGAAATTTGAGAATGTTTCACAGGCTACATTATCAGACAGAAGTATGGCCGGACAATTCAGGCTCAGCTCAATTATACAATCAAGCAAGTAACACAAATATAGTACATGAGATACTGAAAATCCACAAAGTATCAACTCCATTATTCTTGAACATTTTCTGCATGATGGAAAAAGAAAATTATAACATGTGAATAATAAAAACCACACCTTAAATTTAAATACTGCCAAAAGCAATAAATCACTTTATAACCCAATAACAAACAAGCTCACAATAATCCTCCCAAAACATTTTCTCTATATTAAAATGAGAACAAATTTACATATAAATTCCCAGAATACTGCCAATATATTCTCTTATCTCTCTTTTAGTTAATTTTACAATTTAGTAAATATAGTAGATAAAAAATTTGACTTAATAAAATGGAATACTGAAGAACTGTTTTAATAGTAACAATGAGGATTCTAAGTGTTGACTTAAAGTTAACATAATAAAATATCAAGAAAAGTAAACGATTTTTGTTCTCATTTTAATATAGAGAAAATGTTATATTTTCCCATAGAACCGCACACTTGATCAAAACTAAAGTACCACCTATTACGTTCTTTATAACAAGACCAATCCCATATATTTAATGCAGCGACTTAAAGGAAAGGTGAAAATTTCATGAAACTGAAAAATTGCTAGAGATGTGAGAAACTGTTTTATTTCTTACTTCCACTCTTTTAATATCCTCTTCCAAAACACTTAGTTCCTTCTGGATCTGTTCCAGTTGCTGTAGATTAAAGAGAGTGGGGGGAAAATATAAAGCTTAAATCAAACCATGCCAGTATCATCATGTTCATAAAGTATATTTGTTAAATGATTTCTTGAAAACTAACATTAATGGTAAATTAGAGAATGAAAAACAAAATCACCATTTTAAAAAAAGCAGCTGCAAACTGTTAAGTTCAAATGTAGTAACTAAATCTTTAAGAAAACACAATGTTGTACTTCTTTAATACAACAGAGATTGACTTTATAATAAAAATATGAAAGATGAACAATGACAGTGACTGAAAAAAATACCCACAACACTCAAAGGACTTTCACATTACCTTATTTATTAAAAATACAAAAACAAATTCAGCATGTCTCATCAATCACCCCATCTTAAAAGTAAAAGCCTGAAACAGGTTAAATCCCACCACCTAAAAGCAATCATAAATTAGCATCTTAACATGTTCTAATGGACTTTTAAAACATATTCAAGATTTTCAATCTTTCATATTTTCTCTGTTGCATCATCATCATCATTTTCCATGCTACTGTACTGCAAACACCTTAACGATGTATAACATTTAACAATACAGGTAAGTATTTATCTTTTATTAGAGATTTAAATTGTTATGAACTATGGTAACTAATTCTAGAAGCTAGGAATAGTGACGCACACCTGTAATCTCAATTCTGGGAGGCTGAGACAGGTGGATAACAAGTTCAAGTCAACCTGAATTCACTGAATTAACACTATGAATGACAGCCTGTCTCAAATTTTTTGAAAGGGAATAGGGACTGCAGCTCAATACACAGGTCACGGGGTCAATCCCCAGTACCACAAAGAATAATAATAATTTTGGAACATAAGTTCTTTCAGATTTTCTCATTTAGAATTTAGCAAACATTTCAGATTTTATTAAGTGTAAAATGAAAATTGTTGAAAGCAAGTTAGAAAATCTTCATTATGTAACACACTATTGCTTTCCAGAAACATGATACCAATTTAAATTTCTATCACAGCATAATCTGTTGTCTTATTCTAACCAGAAATATTGAATAGATTTTTAAATTATATATATAAATTCAAAATATAAAGTAACAAATACATAATATTGTCAGATGTGAAACAGATACTATTCCCTTTAAGAAGCCGAAGCACAGAAGGTTAATGAAGTTTGCCCAAGATCATTCAGCAGATAAGTGGAAGAACTTACTGTATTATTCCCTTCTCCACATCCCACAGAGGACTGCACCCAGTACCTACAGACTCAGCTGTATGTACAGTACCTACCTGCATACCTTGGTTTTTATTTTCAGGTAAGATCTCACTAAATCGCTGAGGCTGGGTTCAAACTTGTAATGCTCCTATCTCACCCTCCCAGAGAATTGGGATTATAGGTATGTTCCACCAGGTTTGGCTTAGGACTAAAACTCAAATCAAGGTGACCTTCGTGTTCCAGAACCTATGCTTTTAAAAACTACTAAAGTTCTACTGTGTTTAAAAGTAGTATATTAATGTTTTGTTTCTTTAATGACTAAGTATGTGTGTGTGTGTGTGTGTATGTGTTCAGGTTTGTTAGTGTTAGTGACTTCTGTAATAATGTAGGCACAGTTGGTAATCTAGCTGACAACTTATTAATTCAAATATTTTGTTAAGCATTGAAAAGAACAGCAGAATGGAGGCTGGCCATCTGAACAACTGGACAAATACAATAAAATCAAAAACTAAGTCTTAAAGAACTAAACAGAACATTCCCAGGTGGAAAACAGTGGGTACAGACAGAATAACTAGAGTAAAAATTAACACTTGCAATAGTTCAAAAGGTACAAGAAAGGGATATAATAAATCTGAAGCAATGGTAACTAATGGAATTGCCCAATATCAATTAGTACTGCGTACTTTAAAAAGATAAAAACAAAGGACTGATGGTAAGAAAAGTCCATGTTAAAAAACAAAAACAAAAAAATGGACAAAGGAAAAAGCATTATTAACCAGGAAAGCCACAAAACCAAAGGAAAAGTCAGTATATTATCAGACAAACTACGACTTATCACAGTGAAAATCACCACCAAAGACTTCTGACTCATTCATCTATTTTAATAAACTTTGGTACACCTTAAAATGTGTTACATAATATTTTTGCCTTAACACAAACACTGCTCTTCCTGAAAAGATACTTCTTGCCTTAGAACTCTCAAAAAAAGGCTGATCAACTGAGAAGTTCTCAAATGCTCCAGTTCACAGGATTTGGTAGGAATTCACAACTTCTATTCCATTCCATTGCTACTGCCAACATCATCCTAACACAAAAATGACTCCAATCTAGCACATATAACACAACTGAATTGCTCTCTATCAATTTTAGTTATTTTTAAACATGAGTTATTTCTACCACCACTAAAGACAGTTTATGACCACTGACAATTCCACTGATGCTGACCACAAGGTCAGTAAGGTATCCCCTTAGTGACTTCTTAAAATTTTCATTTAATTACTCTTAAAACCTTTATGAAAATAAATGTTTTATTCTGAGGGGTCTTTAATATGATTGCTTAAAAAAATAAATCTAAAAGAATAAAACTAAGGGGGCTGGGGATTTAGCTCCGCGGCATAAGCGCCTGCCTTGCAAGCAGGCAGTCGTGAGTTTGATCCCTGGTACCGATAAAAACGAAAAAGACCAAAAAAAAAAAAAAAAAAAAAAAAAAGAATAAAACTAAATATTAACATTGTCAACATCAAATGACATCCAACATCATTTTATATAATACACAACTGAGATAAGGCAACAATTTTCACAACACTGTTGGAAATAAAAACATGTAGCCTGAGAGCTCCAAATATCAAGTGTTCCTTTCTTTGAAGATACGGTCATCGTCTCAAAGTGCCTTCACACTTTTGTTGGATAATATATTTATTGCTATATGGAGGCTACTGGCACATAAGGTGAAGTATATAAAATTGCCAATATGCAAGTAATTCTTACTTCTAAGAAAGGTAATTTCATGAGTCTATTTAAAAAAAAAAATAACCAAGACAAAAACACTGCCCTGACGAACTTACCTGCAGAATATAAAACCAAAGGATATAACCTATTAAGTCTGAAAGGTATCAGGCAATAAACCTTAAAAAGGAAGCTACACATGGTGATGTATGTCTGTGATCCCAGCACTCCGGAGGCTGAGATAAGAGAGAACTGCAAGTTCAAGCAAACCCTCATAACTAAGACCCTGTTTCAACATAAAAAACAGGCTAGGAATATAGCTCAGTACAAAGGCCCTACATTCCATCCCCAGTATTGCATGATTACACAAGTAAATAGCAATTTTTTAAAAAAGGAAACAAAATTATATTATTAATCTTTCACCAACAAAATAATTAATATTTACTAATTTTTATTAACAATAACAAGTTGGAGAAATAACACAATGCTATCTCAGAGCATTATCCAACAGTAGCATTCTCCTAATAGTGTAAAATGCTAAAGAAAATGCATGGAAACAGTTACATTTAAATGAAAAGTTTCAGATGCCCTTATGAAATGAAATGTATAAGAATTCAAAATTTAAAAGTCCTAATAAACATTAGCTCTGATACCTTTGGGATTCATTTGTTTAAATACATCTTTAGAACTCATTTATTTGAACTCTACTAATGGCTGGGAAAAAAAAAAGCCTGGGTATTAAACACATATGAATTCTGTTTTTTATAAGCTAATGTAATCTAGAATACATTTATTATAATTATTTCAAAGTAAAGAATAAACTGCTACATTTTTGGAGAAAAAAAGAGTAGTAAATTGTAAGAATTTTAAGAGTTTACTACCCAATGGAAAGCATTTAGATAAAACAAAAGTGAAGATGAAATGTGCAGGTCAACTGTCTACAATGCCACCCGAAAAATATATACATACAATATCTAATGACTTGATTTTAAACCTCCATGACCTCTATCATTGATAGCTTTAAGATGTAAAGAAACCACAGACCAAGAACGACTAAAAATATGTAAAGAAGGAGCAAAATAAGAAAGCTTATTTAAAAGCAATCACTAAAAACCTATACAAAAAAACGCATTCAAAAACATTATATATGAATATGAGCCAGGCATAGTGACACGTATCTGTAATCCCAGCGCTAGGGAGGCTAAACCAGGAAGAGTACCAGTTCAAAGCTAGCCTAGGTTACACAGTGAGATCCTGTCTCAAAAAAGAAAAATAACATACGGTCAAAACAGAGTTCTAAAAAAGGAGGTCAATAGTCCACAAAAAAGCCAAGCTGGTGACATACACCAGTAATTGCGAGGTACAAGGAAACAAGCAGCAGCCTGACCTGGGCAGCTTAGCAAGACTGTCTCACAAAGGGAAAAAATAAAAAAGGATGAGAGTGTAAGTCAGTTTTCTCTGCATTCAATCTCTAGTAAAACCAGAGGAAAATCCACAGGGAGAAAAATATAATAACAGCAGCAAAAGACAGAGAAAAGAAACAAAATAATAACATGATAGGCTGTAATGTTCTAAATAAAAGATTGAAAGTGGTTTAGTGGTTTATACACTATCTCAACTATATACTGCCTATGAAAAATGTAACTCAAACACAATGATTCAATATAGATGTAGTAAGAATACAGACTCAGAAGGACACATAATTTTTTCCACAAATTATCACTTTATGATGCACTTGTAATTGCAAAATACACAGTATTTCCAAATACAAGTATTTTAAAATTTAATCAACTACAAGGTAGTGAAGCAAATGCAGTATCCTAGGTATTTCCTGATAATACTGTAATTAAAGCATAAATTTATAATAAAAAAGAAACTTCATGTTCAAGTAATAAGTTTATTTCTAAATAAACCACATCCCTAATAAAAAAGTATAATGAAAATAAGAATTATTTTGGATTAAACAACAACAAACAAAATAAGATACCAAAACCAATATGTGCAGCTAAAAACAAAAAGAACTATGGCCGAAAATGTTTATAGGAGAAAAAGAAATCTGCACAATAATATGCAC